TATTACTCTCCTATTATGTCAAAGATAATCTCTCAGATTCATAAAAAAAACACTATACAATGCGACACTGTGCTTGAGAGGTGGAAAAACAAAATGAAAACGAATGCGTGCAGTTGTGCTAGTCCATTTGGGAAGGTGGCGGACCGAAACAGCTGATTAGCAATCGCAGACCCGTCTGTTGTCTGTAATTGTGGCTCCTTGCAAATTTACTCTCCGTTTAAAAAAAGACAAGTCTTTCCATTTCCCAGTGAAGTGCACTTGGCCAAAGTTCATGTGACCTCAGCAATAAAAAGAAATACATGCACGGAGATGAAGATTTGATGAGAAATGATGTCCGTGGTGATAATCTGAGACATCCATCAAGAGCATTACAGATGGAGCCAAGCACTAGACGACCGACTGTAAGTATGAAACATCAACATTTGTCATCAGCTTCTGACAGTTGTCTCAAAGAGCTCATGTACTACTACACTTCATTGTGCACTCCGTGAGATCGTGTGATATTGTGTGCTCAGTGTGAGGACAATGTGCTGAAAAGATCATAGCACCTCATTTGGCATGAAAACAGGGTGTTGCATTGAAGTGCGTATAATAGGGACCCTGAAACACGCTGTAGATGCATCCGTCTAATAACAGCTAAAATAAAGCGTACAGTATCACACTTAAAGCTGTGAGCCTTCCTTCACTTTTCACGGCAAAATGCTCAGGAGACACATCACTATTTGACAGTAAGTGCATGGATGGTAATGACAATAGCATAGCTAGGAAAGTAAAACCCTTTCACAGTGGAAACAGCAATAGACACAAATATGCAGCGTTTAAAAAAAAAATGAAAAGCATAGTGGAAATTTAGCACATCATCATAGTCATGTGTGACTTGTTAACTATAAGGATGACTAATGGGCCAAAATAAAATTGTGGTCAAAGAAAAGGAATTGTTTTTGCAGTGATGTACTTTTACTTGCAAATACATAGAAAACAGGTCTGTGCATAAAGTTGTCCCCGCTCTTTTTACTGCATGCTCAATATAATTAGTGTATAATACCAACTAAACTATAATCTCAATTGGGTATTGGGGTATGTGTTGAAACAAAAAGTAAACATTCCGGCTTTCCACACTGCAGCCCTTTCTATTCACTTTTCATCTTCAGCACAACCCTACAGTGCTGACAATGATGGGTTATCATGTGCTATACTGGATAAATACCTTTCTAACACAAGAATTTGATCCACCAATCAATAATGTTTATATGTAGTGATGTTATGGGATGTAGACGTTAGGTGACATACATTTATGATGAATTCGCAGACATCTTTCCCTCCACATACATTTGTAGAGTGGGTTCATAACATGTACATGGTGACACCTGGTGGTGAAGACTTGAAACTACAGCTTGGGTGGCGAAGCTGCTGTATCCGGTATCATTTCTCGTGGAGCTTAATTATTTAGCATGAATAAACCTAATTCCTCTTCACAAATAGTTATTCCAACTTAATAGCGATGTGATACAATTAGCTTATTAGGCTTCGGCTAATGTAGTAGCACGGCGTGCAGCTTAGCCTCGCGTTATGTGGACCGACAAGTCAGTTAGCCGGGGGCAGGGAGAGAGTATTTTGCTTTGACCAAGCAAGTGAAGAAAGAAACCGAGTGAAATGCCAGCGATGCAATGTGTCAGCTGTCCTCTAAATCCATGCCCTTCACCGAGCTCCAAAAACCCCGCAAACAGTGCACTAAACGAAGCACTCCTTACCGTGTTGTTTACTAGCATTTTGAAGAGCTAGCAAAACACGTCCGGGAGTTTATGCGGTGTATATGAAACGTATGAACTAAAGATGTAGCGAAATAAGAGCAGGAGACATATGATATGTATCAGGCGTAGGATGCAACATATTACTGAGCTATGGAGGCGACCATTGCCTGCAGTCTATGGTAGTACTTCAAAATAAAAGTCGCCGGAAGTGACTCTCACTGGTGGCTCGTATTTCTAACAGACTAGTAACCACAGCCAGTGACTGGAGCTTTTTTTCTGCTGCTACTGCACGTGACTTCTCTACCACGGCCTCCATTAGCCTACTAGTATTAGACTAACGGTGGAATGAACCAGCACTGCTCCATCGTTCTGCATGGAGTGAAATGTTTGGCTGACACCTATCACTGAACTATTTAATGTTAATATAGCCTACTGCATGAGCCATGACAGAGGTTTAATACTTTTGCAAATCCTGCATGCACATATTGTTGGCATACACCATTCAATAATGTGAATGCTTCATAGATTGCAATACATTAGTTTAATTGTTTTAACATCTTCCAACACATATGGTACTTCATACTCTTTGGGAGAGGGGATTATAGGGTTGTCTGCAGATAGGTGGGACTGAGCACCACTTGTGTGCAGGCATGTCTAGACCTAAAGTGGTAGGCCTATGAGTGTGTTGGATGGAGGCAGGATGTGAAGGGCAGCCACTGTAGAAACAGGACTGCCTGAAGTGACTGTAAATGCAGAAATATGCCCTTTTATGGCTCCAGGTCTCCATGTATTTTTTAAACACACACGTAATTAGTATAAATTAAAGCAAGAGGTCTATCTTTGTATTGATAATAAATGTATGCTTATTGACACAGGTCAGATAAGGTCCCAGAATTGCAGTCAAAATTGCATCTGCCCATTGTTGCACACCCACAAAGCACGTGAAGCACACACAAAAGTACAAGTTGTCATAGGTACTGTTTTTCCAATATACATATATTTCATGATGTTCATCAATATAATAAGACATTGATAGATTTACACTACAATTATTTTATGTACTTCAGTTTTTCATTCAGTCTCCTTTTCTTTACATCTTTAGTTTCTAATCCCATACCAAATGACAGCACAATAAATCTATCAATAAGAAGGAACAAAAGTAAGATAAAACTGAACACATTGCCCACGATCCTCCAGTCTTGTCCCTCCTGTAAGGCCAGATGGCCAGGGGCAATATGGGCCTTCATCCCTGAAACCCCAGTTCCAAAGAGAAATCAAAATATTTCCTAAAAAATAAACAGATTTAAACAAAAAATATATCTTGTAGATACAAACGGGAATCTGATGTAAACTGTAGAATCATTCTAAGCATTCTGGACAATTGAAGGTAAAAATACTTTTTTTCCCCATTAACTTCCCATTTTCTTTACCGTTACCCATCAGTGCTTACATATAAACAATTCAGTGACATCTGGAGTTATTACTAAATTGATGCAAAAGAAAAACACAATATTTGGTCCGAAAATAAAACATATATTAAGTAGAATATTGTACTATTATAACCATCCAGTAAACATTCAGAGACTCAAAAGGTTCCCTCCTTTTGCTGCATTCATACCATTTGGGGTCGACGGTAAACGTTGGGGAACATTTCTCCTGCTCTGCATATATCACATGACGCTTTGTTGAAAGATTGGATCTTCATTTGATCTCTTTCTTTCTGCTTATTTCCTTCCAAGTTTGAATCACAAGTTATATTTCAAACCTGGAAGAGGGTCTGAACCCTTTTTTCCGTGATGGCAACTTGCATTTTGGATCACCCCCCAAATGACCTGAACACAGCGTTTAAGTTGAGATCGCTGAACGATTCTTGAGGTTGACATAAGACAATATTCTCCACCGAATCATGTTCCCATCCCACCAAAATCAATGAATCACAAAAGAAAAAGTGCCACTGTGTTAAAATATATACGCACTTCGTTTTACACAGACAGTAAAGCAACGGAAAAAAAGGGAGCACTCACTTAATTTTCACCATTGTGATCAAATTGGTTGAGCACTCACAACGGATTTATGGATTACGGATTGATGGATAACACAGAAGTCCTACCCCAATCAGTAGTGCTATTTCACGTCATCCCACTGTGTGGTTAACTCCTGCAGGATGGCTCTAAGGACCACATTTGTAACCCTTTAATGATTTTCTATTGCCAAAAACCCAATTTTATACTTTGCTTATATAGTTTTGTCCTCATATATAACTTGGTAAATTGCTAATACCTTAAACCTGAGGATATAGGACCCCCCTACCCCCCAAAACACCCCCATGTTACAACACCGAACAATGCAGATTTTTATAAAGTTTTTCACGGTTATTTTTGATAGCATATAGTTAGTTTATATGTCTTTTCATTTTAGAACTTGGCAGCACTATGGAGACAAAAAAGAAGAGTTGTGCTATTATTAGTTATAGGATCATGTGTCTTAAAACTTGTTTTCGATTAAAGAGGCCCTTCGGACCTAGATGCGCCTGGTGGGGCAGGCTGTATTTGCAATTTTGAAGTATGCGGCCCTCATGTTTTGGTTTAACTTGCATATGTTAGAATGGCACACTCACAAGCCAAACTGACACACCATATGAACAGTGTGCAATAGTTAAAAGGTCCCGTCATCTGTGGATAAATAGGGTAAGGGTATTTAAAACAGACTTGGATAGTTTGGATAACCTGTTTCTCTCCGCTTGTTTTTGATGGCAATTGGCAGCGTAAGCATGGAAATCTGGTCTTTGGTAATCTTCTGCAGTTTACTTTTGCTCTGTTTGGAAGAAAACATGGGAAGGGGAGGAGGGGGTTTGTTAAGGTTCGGGTCCTTCCTTATTAGAACTGGCCGGCAGATCTGTAACCTGTCTGCTTGTGTACTTCAGTGGTCAAGGAAACAACGTGCCCTCACTCTGAGATTTAAGCGGCCTAATCTGTCGGGATAAACTGGGGATATTCCCGAGACAGAGCTATTCTAACACATACACACACACACACACACACAACACATTGATGCACCTGCGCTGACACAGAAACACACACACATACACACACACACACACACACACACACACACAACACATTGATGCACCTGCGCTGACACAGAAACACACACACACATACACATACACACACACACACACTGTAGGATTCTGAATCAGTGGGTTGAGCAAAGGGGACAGGTTGGTTTACTCAGCTGGTGGGGGAGATAAAAAGTCATGTTGAAAAGAGACAAGGCTACTAAGGCTTTACACACACTTGTTTTAAAATATTGTTGGTGGCTTCGTGATCTTTATCTTTCCAGCCTACTATAAGAATATTTTATACATTTTAGTTTAGTTAAATTGCTTCCTGTTCAGCATTTATTAATGCAGACTTGCACAAGCAAAAACTCTGTAAATAAAGATCTTCCTTAGGTGAAAGTAAAATAGTCTCAAATCAAGGAAATTTAACTTTAGGTTGATGTCATCTCATGTTCATGTGTACAAGGCCTTAGTTTAACTGAGCACTAAAGAACAAACAAGTGCATCGTATTGCCCTGCTCTTCCTGCTCATAAAGTAGCCACAAGTAGTATACACAGGTTAAGATGCCAGACACATGTAAAAGAATGTTTTAAGACCAAACCAGCTTGGGCACCAATGAAAGAAATCTGCAATAAGAACAGAAGCCTCTCCCTTGTTGCTTGGCAGTGTATAACGCACAGAGCTGAATTACAAAAAACACAGCAGACTGAGGTAAAGAGGAGCTTACTGCTGTTGGCAGCAAATAGTACTGATTGCACACTTCCTCTCTACCTGTCTGTTTCACACAAAAATATACTATAATAAAAATAGAATCTATTATATTTAAAAAAGAAAAAAAGGCCTTAACTATAGGGAGAAACACTGAGACAGAACCACTGCGCTGGCAAAGACACTCTTCTTCGGAGTGCTACTATTCTTGAATAATTGCTTGTCGCTAACCTTTGACAGTACATTTCTGAGCCGATACCCCAAAGTTGCTGACCAAAAACTCAACTGTGAATTTGACATTATCCTCATTAGCCTCTGTCCCTGTTCCTGGATTTGCAAATAAGGCTGAATTATCTCTTTTCTTTATATGTGCTCTTCGTGTGGAGAGGTTTTGCTGCATGAGGATCTCCTTTGGACAGGCTATTTACCAGCCAGACAGCGCCATCAAAAACAAGGTTGTTTGTGCATTTTAAACAGATTCCTTTTCTGCAGTCAGCCACTCCCCCCTGCACAGACTAAAAGTGTGAGGGCGGATTTGACTGGAAATATTCTACGGTAACTAATAGAAGTGACTGGAGACTAAGGCTTTTTAGTGGCCATGTAAGTAACAGGCCAGTAAGAATTAACCGTTGCTTTATGGAAATGTATCAATTTATGCAACGGCCCCATTTTATGCATTAGAATTGGTTTTTTTAAGCCCCTATCCACAGTTTGACATTAATGACATCTCCACAGTATACTGTAGCCTACGTGTAATGTTAAAATAACATCACCCATATTACAAAAGAAAATCATTTGGACAGATTGAAAGTCTAATTCTGTCTATCCAAAACGTACCCTTACAGCTATTAACTATTTTTTTCTCCTATGGTTTGTATGACCGACGTTTTCGACACAAGTTTCATTTTTTTTTTTTCCTTAAAGATACTTACACTTATATGTGCTACGGTAAGACCATTTGCACTAGACTGCAATGAAGGAATGTTTTCGAAATAAGACACTACGTAATATTTAAATAAAAAAAGAAACATCTACAGACATTGGTCCGACTGTACTATGGCAGTTTTAGAAATGATCAGAAGAAATTGAGGTGTTCAAGCATGCTGACAGACGGAAGTGTTGGGGCGTTAAAGATGAACGTTATTAGACGAGTGAAATGGAGAAAGAGAAACGAAACGGATACTGGGAGGATCGGATGAAGAGGGCTGGAAAATGATGGTTACTAGGAATTAGTTTAACAATTCATGCATTATTTGTATGTTTGATCAGTATGAGTGAGCATTAGCTCTTCTTAGAAAGCCAGCAAAGAAGCTAAGACTTGAATTCCGTGATGACATCAAGTTATAGAAATTTGGAGCTGAGGTAAGAGTAACCTGGGGCATTCTCAGGGGCAGTTTTGTGTGTGTATTAGCTCAAATGTGTGTAACTTGATGTTATCTCTTTAGTACAAGTTTTAGTTCTCTGGCTTATTTTGTACTTTCTTATTGGACACAAGTAGCACAGATGAACCTCAAAAAGTCTTTCCGTAGTGAAATGGAGACGAACTCCATTTTGCAAAAATACATCGAAAAGAGAGAGTAAGCAGGGAGACAGACCGATGATGAAAACATGCAAGATACACACTTTGATTAATAGGCAGTAGTTAACGCTGAAGCATACTTAAAATTAATACAAAAAATTAAAAAATACAAAATGCACACACACACACACACACACACACGCACATACACACACACCTACAAAACAGTATATATCAGAATAAAACTCTACAAAGAACTATATATATATCAATTATGTAACAATTATCGCCAAACGTTGCTTCCTTTTCTGTTGTTGCATCGTCACAAGTGTTTGGTTCTCAGTATGGCAGGTTAGAAAAGCCAAGAGTACCCAGAAAGGAAACAGGGCCACACACTCACAGGACAAATATTGACAGGGGTCCAGAGGCGAGGTGGTGGATGTGGGGGAGCCATGGGGCCCTGAAGGTTTAGGGGTGTTATATATCGAGGCTAATCGGGAGATATATATAATAAATGACTTATCGTGGTTAATTTTGTAATCAATTGGAGGGTTTTTCTTCTGTAGCGAGGAAGGATTAGACTGGGGTAGGAGCAACTCTTCTTAGGTGCTGAAGTACACTGTAAAAAAGAAATGAAATGAAAGTCTTATTCATTATAATGCCCAAGTTATCAAACCAACATTTGCTGACAACAAGGTCAATCTTCATTCAGGGACATGCCTTATATTATACAGTATATATATGTGTATAATTAGACAAACTGTTTTAGCGTTGACTAAGTCCATTGAGACAACAATGAGAAATCTATGTGCACAAATGTGAGAAGGATTCTTACCAATAATGACGATGAGGATAATCACGCATATCACACCCATTATAATCATCATCTGTAGTCAGTGAATTTTCAGAAAGAAAGTCATCAGAAAAGCAGTCAAATTTGTAATTATTTTTCATTTGTTAAACCAAATTCTTAAAAGTGCAAAAATCACACCATCATTTCATCTGCTTCTGTCTGTATTGTTATTGGTGTTATTTTTCATTTGTTCGTAAACAGGGAGGTTTAAGGCTGCCTTCATGCACAGGTATTTGCTATTCAAGTCAGCACGTCTGCATGTCCTCACCTTGGCATTCTTCCACCAGTATTTATTCTTCAGTTTTGCAGCGCTGGTCTCAAACTGAGAGGCTCCAGCCTGCAGGGCGTCAGCCCTATCGTCCAGTTCTGACAGCTTCTGATCACGCTCCAGAACCTTATCCACGTTTACACGCATGATATCCACCACCTGAGGAAAGACACGCAGAGAGCCATGTAGTGCAATCAGCTATCAAGACAGAATGGCTGTTGGATAAGGATTATGTTTGAAAGTCATTTTTTTCATTTCAAATCACGGTTTTAATCTTTATATGAAGCTCAAACCCAGCCCTAACAATGATTTGTGTTTTTCCCACTTCAAATTTGCAAGCAGAGAAGATTGAGTTACCAGTACGTGACCAATGAATTATGCTAAAACCGTAAATGTCTACGTCTGAGCCCGACAGCATGACTCTGGCTTTGCAGAGAAGCTAGTGCTCACCTCATCCACTTGTGCCTGTGTCTGCTGCAGACGACGGTTGCTGGTGAGGTTGGGGGGCTGATTCCCTCCATCTGCTCCAGGGGCTCCAGCTGGGGCAGACCTAGTGATACAAAAAAAAATACAAATATTTGATTGTTATGCAAAGCAAACTCATTTAGAAAAAAGTTAAGAAAGCCTTGAAAATACAATAGTAACAACAACAACAAAAACTTCATGACAGAACCATTCTATCTAATACAAAATACACATATTAAAAACATCACAGAGTTTATTTTTCAAGAATGAGTAATGCTTCCATTTGCAAAGGAATTGTACAAAAGGACAGTAGTTTGGCTCAAATATAAATAGTTCAAGAAGTAAAGGAATACGAATGCTATCAGACATTACATTACACCATGTCTAATGGTCTAACTGCAGGAAAATTATTAGAAATTCATAAAAATGGTTGCAATGTTTAAGTAAGTGTCTGCCTGTCTCAGTTAAAGGTTTACTTTAAACTCCTAAAATGTTATGCTCATAAAGTGCTCAAATTGAATGTAGATTAAATAAGCCATATAAATAACATCGTATGATCATTAAAGATGTGCACCTTGTTCCACTCATGCTCAGGGCTGGGCGATAATTCAAAATGATATGATACGTTGTCTAAAGTGATAATAACTCTTACTAGTTCAAATTCCCCAGAAAATCTGATCATTTTGCACTAATGTTAAATTAAAAAATACTCACTTTTCATTTGTCAAGTATTTAATTCACACAGGAGTACACAAAACCAAGTGGTTACCAGAAAACATGCTATATTATGATTATATATATATATATATATATATATATATATATATGCCCCTTTAGTTTATATCTGTAATCATACACTTCTTAGGAAGGGGGTGAAACAAAGAAGACAAATATCTAATGTGGGATGCTAACAAATGTATTGTTTGGGGGACCGTTTGTTGTTTTTAACTCACTCAGTATATTTACTCACAGATTGTGGAGTTCTGCTGTGGATTGAACACTGCTTAGAGCTAACAGATAGTGCAACGTCATGGAGACACTACTAGTACTCTGCTGTGTATCAGAAGAAATGAAAGATGCACCTTTTTATGAATGGTATTGAGATTCAAGCTGGAATCAGATTTAACTTGTAGGATGTGGAAGATTTACTGTGTTCCAAAAATGGATATTCCCATATGGTAGCGCTGGAGAGTACTTGTACCTCTGCTCTTTGCAGCAGGAGAAACACCCGAAATGTTAAAAGTATATATGGTAATTTACGAATGTTAATCTAATATTTCAACCAAAACAAAATCACTAATCCCATTCCATCTAGTTCCTGCTGTCTTAAATGTTACATGACACATGAACAAAAACCTACGTTGAGTGGACAGCTTTAGGGTACACAGAAAAAACTACAGACTAACTCTATATCTCATGCAGGCACATCATCCGATCAGAAACATAGAGCACATAATCATGTAACAGCTGAGCCACAACCTACAGAAATAAACAGAATTGGCCGAATTTCCAAATATGTCAGATTCACCAAATATGCATTATTCTCTTTATTCTAAAGGCTATTCTTTTATAACATAAAAAAGAAATGATGAATGCTGTCTAAATGTAAGTATAAAGATTCCCTTTAAGAGAAAATCTAAGCCTGCATGTCTTCATTGAAATGCAGAATGGACAGCAGGCACAACAACCACACAAATCCAAAACAGTACGATTGATTAACCATAAATATAAAAGGAACAACAAGCCTGTCTGACATGATATTAAATGAGATATGATTCTCTCAACCAACTAATATCAGTTTACCTTTCATAATAAGATGGGCCCATATATCTATTAAAAGTCTTAACATAGTCTAAACATTCAATCTTAAACATTCTGCAACTTAACATAGCAGCAGATACATTTTTTAAAAAGCAAACGAGAAATGCTTCAAGAGGCTTAAAATACTTAAATATTGCATATAGTGTTGAGTAGCACAGCATGCTTTATTGCTATCTATAAATGGAGAGACTCAATCAATACAATTACACAGACAAACTGCCTCTAAATTTAGAGTGTGGCATTGACTAAAGGCTGTCGTATCTTCTGACAAAGTTAGCTGAGTTGTTAGCTGCTCTGGCGGTGTGAGAAAAGACTCTGTATAAAGGTCACCTCTACACACTCACACATTACTAATCCTCCAAGAAATCCTTTTGAATAGTTGGCCCGACCCTGTCAGCTGCCAACCAGCCCTAATAGACACTGACAATATAAACCCCCCCCCCCCCCCCGAGGCTACCTGTGATATATACAGTATAATGGTGAATTATTATTACGCCTTCCTTTCATACAAATAACATATTGTTTCATTTCTTGAGACCAGAGTGATTATCACTCTACAGCAGCATGTTCACAAATCAAAAGATGTGTTGAGTAAAGAGTTGTCCACATGCCTAATATTAAACACTATAACTAACTAATGTAATATATCTATGTCATCACTGTATGCTCCTTTTCAACTTGCCAGCACGAGTATCACCACAGAGGTGGAATGTGTGCTGAGGTTCACGCCATCATCACCAACCGGGAAGAGTTGCTAGTGCAGCCGCACGATTTCTCATCAGCCGCCACATCCTGTTTGAGGGGCAAACTGGACGCTCCGCACACAGGTGGGGTGACTGTTTCTAATGGGCCCCTTTGGTGCAACAATCTTCATTTTTAATTCAAAATGGTGAACTGAATCTGCCCCACTGATTATGCCACATGGGGTAGTAATATCATCACCTGTCTACTGATAGATGTATTAGTTTCAGTGATACAGTCAAGAGATATTTGTGGTGGATGTAACACAGCATCTCACTTGTCTCAAAGTGTCAAAAAAGACACTGTTGTATGAGGTGGTAACTGGATAAAGAGAGCACATACTTCAGCTTCACCCTATTTCAAGACAATAATGAGGGGTAAAAAACAACAGAAAAGAAATAAACAGGAATTCTCTTTTCAAAAAAACATCACAAACAGAAAAAAAGCCCTTTGATCTGTTAAAGGCAACTAACCTAACACGCTGGATCTACAGTCCACCGATAATGTCAGATTTGCAATGAAAGCGCAATATATTCAACCCTCTTTAAAGACACATAGAATAATAAAAAATAGTCATGTGGTTTCCAAAGAGGGCTCCTGTGACATTGAGGGTTCTGTGCAAGCTTTTCAGGGGTCCCTGATGAAATGAGGAATCATATAAACACTTATTATTTCACACCCTATATATCCTAAAAGTATAGATATGATACCAATACCATTTTACATTTGATTTAAACTAACTACTAGGCTACTACTTCATTTAGCTTTATTTTATTTCTGGTTTTTTTTTTGGGTCACTGTCATGAAAAAGCACACTGACTGACTTTGAGCACTGGAGAGCGACATTTCAGCACTGGACAGCGCCACAGCAACCCAGACCACGAAAACCGGTCAGATCCCATTCTCACTACCCCATTCTGTTTGATGCTCCTGGACTGGAGCCCGACCCACAGCGCTCACTGGTTTCCGTTTTTCTTTTTTTCTTTTTTACCGTATACACAGACACACCAGGCCTGCATAACGTCCTGTAGGACATCACGTTCCACGACGAGCACGACTGGGGGCCTGTAAATACAGTGGAAGCCTACACCGCACATCGAGGGCGGGGAGGTTCCTTGTGGAGGGGGGAAGGATGGATTCCAAGCACTTGTATGAACAATTGTCACCAAATGTTGGTGACAAATGTAACTTACAGCGCATAGAAGGATTGTTAACAAACGCGTCGACACGGTTCAATGACATGTCGTGCGTCGGCACCAGTGTTAAACTGCTTGCTATGCAAAAAAGAAAACGAAAACGAAAAGAAAAACCCGACAGACGAGGTTGTCACGGCTATCTTTACTTAGCCTACGCTTTATATGTTATATCATGTGCAGTCGAAAACAGAGAGGGGACAAATAAGGCTTAGGAAGGGAGATGTGTCCGTTAAGTCCAAAACAGCCTGAAATATGATGAGATATATGACTGTCCGCCCTCGCACGACAATCGACGACATACAGTTGGAGGCTAGGCTATCCCCCCCACCCCCCCCCCCCCCCCCGCTGTGGGTTGCAAATATCACGTCAACTAGGCCTAAGCCTACTTCAGAGCTAATAATACCATCGTCTATATAAAGGTCCGTGGAGTATTCGTCGAATAATGTCGACGCGTTACATGTTCAACATTGTGTCCTTGCTTGTAAGCTTCACCGTCACCTGTGGTTCAGCGACACACACACAACGAAGGACTGTAAACGTTCACAAAGGACAACAACAAAAAGGCTTTATTGTGCGTGATGTTTTTCTTCGTGTGGTTTTAATTAGCCTGTGGGGTTATCGCACACAGACGGTGTCCTTTACATAAAATCCAAACCAGTCCAAACTGGAAAAAGATGCGTGCGTGCTGGCTCCGGTGGAAAAAAAGCTCCAGACGACTAAATAAAAGAAGGCACGCGACAAACACGGGGCTCATTTACCGTGTAAACGCAAAAAAAAAATAAATAAAAAAAATAAGGCTAATAATGTGTTTAAAGCCGATACACCCTCCATCTGCTCCAAGGTTAGGCCGACGCGTTAGCCTCTCCACACACACACGATCGGATGATATAAAATGAATAAAAGCTGTCAAATTAAATTCAACAGCAGAAAATATTAATGATATACCGACTAACGTGACTCCAGTGAAATAACCTGAGTATTTGATGGCAAAGACGCACAAGAGACCATCCAGACACCATTAATCCCGGGTAGCCTGCCAACACCAGTCGTGAGGACGAAATTGGAATTCATAAATTAATTAGGGTTTAAAATAAGAGCTTTAAACGATGATGTACTCACATTTTCCTGGTTGTGTTGGCTGGACAGCTGTGCTGAAATCCGGACTGGAAATGTTAGCGCGGACTAAGTGGCTGGCAGATGGATGTGGATTGCCTTCTGCGCTCCTCTCTACCCTCTGGCACCCTTTGGTTGGTTATCGTGGCGTTTCCCTGCCTATATAGCCGAGGAGGAGCACTGGCTTTGTATCTGCCACAGAGATATGTTTCCCCCTTCGCTACAAAACAACTCTTCCCTCTCTTCCTATTTCTACGGAGATGCGGCACCTGCAGGCTGAACTGGAGCCCGGCGCTGTCAGGGTCCGTGTAGTAATGAAGGTGTAATAAACAGCCGCCCGGATTAAGGTGGACAAAGATGGCCCGGTGACGTCAATCGAGGCGAGTTTCATGTTGAAATGGGTGACCGGAGACTTCAAAATAACAGCGTTTTATCGGCCGGGACAGCGCTGATTTGAACGTATGGGCGCTGTTATTGGGACTCTGCGCACATTTTCTTTACACACATTACATGTCATGATCGTGCTTTGGGTTTAAAGCTTTAGTAAAGGAGCTTATTTTGACTGCACGTCTGTGTGTCAACAAAATGGCGTTCCTCGAAAGGGGGTGTGGCGAGTTTGGCAGTCGGTGTTTGATTATCTGTCATAGTAAATATGGAGAGGGATCTAGTGGGAACGAAACCCACCTGACAGCATTTTGACTTTTGTTTGAAGAACAAGGTTTTATTATTATTTCAGGCGGCATTGCATTCAGTTAGCTGCTGGTAATTATGATGTAAATCATGTGAGGATAGAGTCTCTTAAGGTCATGGGGACTCTTCCTGCTCCATGGAACCCAAGAATAAATGTACGGTTTCCCCCCTAATTAGATGAATAATAGCCTATATACTAACTTTTTGTATTGAAAAGTTAATTTTTTAAAAATGTGTATATATGATGGCCCATAATATATTTTTAGTTTTCTTTGTAAACAGGTAAATAAGCCAATAAGGAAATACATACAAATGTTTCTTCATTTGATAGTGTGAATTCAATTTCCATTAAATTAAATTGTTTTTTCTGTGATGTTAGTGGTCCTGAACATTTTATCTTCATAGGCAATGCCAGAAAGTCAGGATTGAAAGACGATGTCGATTTAAAGAGAAACAATTTGTTGAATTCCTGTAAAATAAACCGAAAGCAACTGTCATTAAGTACAGGAACTGCTTGGACAGATTTCTGGATGCAAAAATACAGTGTCTCTCATGAAAAATGTTGTATATAATAATCCCAGAGGGAGAGATACTTCATATTGTTGCTATTTGTTTTGTGCCTCCACGTGTTTACTGTTGTTGTGACAACCAACACTGGAAATCCAATCAGTCAAACATCCAGGTACATATTTAGCCTACTGAACTTGGCTTGACCTCACTGAAATCACACGTGAGTTCGTAAATCCACTCTCAATCTGAACTCTTGCTAGACCAAATACACTTTAGATTTAGTTTACTGGAATCGTTTCTTCTTTCTTGTTTAGTGTAAAGTCGAGTCTCTTGTTTGGTTTTATTCTTTGCATTATTAAACTCTCCTCCTTTACATCTGGATGTTCCTGTAATGTATTTGTTCATTATTCATATGATAAAGTAAGTACATTGGATGACATTAACTCACAGAGTCACAGATCAGGCTTTTATAAAGAAGCAGCATGGAATTGAAGAATTTGATACAAAGTATCTTCATCTGTTCTCACAACAGAAGCATTTAGTGGCTAAAGATTCAGTAACAAGACCTTTTCTGTGGTGGCAGCTATGTTGCATATTTAATATATGCAATGGTCCCAAAAAAGGATGTAGGTTCAATGTTTTATAGGGTGATGGTAACTCAGTAAGCCCACATGGTGGTGCTATAGGACAGCTAGTCTTATTACTAACGTCTCTATAAAGTAGATGTAGAAGTAGCTATCTTATGTCATGGAGGTCATATCAATATGTTTCCCTAGTAGATAGGGTTCCTCGTGATCCCTTTTTTCACCTGAACTTCAGTGCGGAATATATAGAGAAAAATCGAATGATAATAATGACCAAATTTGAGGATTTGAGAAGAATTACAAACATACACATGTGTAAACAGCTAGTCCGTGGATTCAACACACAAATATAGAAAATCCATACGTACTTGTACTTGAAATTAGACAGAATGAACCGAACACGAAACAATATTTTTCACACGATATATTTTGCGTTCATTAAGGTAGACAATTCTGACAATGCAACCAGGAAACTGTGAAAAGGTGTTCTGGATAGAAGCTGTGAACAAATTCATTGTCATGTATAACCTGTAACTAGTTCTCCTACACTGTGGATGAGCAAAGAATTGCAATGTGTGGGAGACATATTGTACAGCTCTGATAAGCAAGTCTTGATCTATAATTAATCAAAGCTTTGAGCTGTGACGTCTTTCAAACCCTTTAATTATAAAACAGGATAAATACCAACCTTTATATTGCAGTGGTTTTGCTCGTGATCGACACTGCCATGGGTTTTCGTGTTTTATGTGGATCTAGTTGAAGGAATTTTTGTGCACTTTGGAGATTTCCCGCTGACATAAAACTGCCATTGTTTTCCCGAAGGGCTCTGGCGAACAGGTTTCCACGTGAATCACAGTCAAGGAAGCGGTTCCAATAGAGCTGGGGAATTTATTTTTTGTTTAAAAGTGCCTTTACAGTACCCCATGAGATATACAATTTAGACGAGATGAGACAAGTCATGTTGTCAATGACAAGGTTTGGATTAGAAGACATTATGGTGGAGTTACACTCACTGTATGAACAGTTTTAGAATCTCAATTTCATGGCACAAACTAATGAGAACAGGAAAAAAAAAAAAAAAAGACTGAATTCAGAAATAATATTTCACATGATAAAATCCTGTCATTTAAAAAGGGAGGATTTCATTCACAGTTGTGGTCCTATTTTGCATTTGCTCACGTTCCAACAATCACAAAGGCGTTCGGCACTGAAACCATCCCTAAGCCACTCAAAATCCTGAAGCACAAATGTCACAACAACCAAACAAAACCTCCCTGGTGAGGTCCTCGACTTTCTAAAATAAACCTTTCTATATATTGCTTTTTTTTTTTGGGATGCATTTGTGCAAAAAAATCTCAGTGATAATTAACATGAACCGAAAGTAAACGCATACACACCTGGGACATCACTAACTCGCTCTCGTGTAAGGAGTGATATTGCACTGCTTTTTTTAACAAACAGAAAAGTATTATACCGGTGCCAGACATCTGTCAGTACACCCATGATACAGGCACCCACTGTGGGGTGGAGGTGGCACGCTCCATGGCCTCCTCCACACCTTTCACGCTTTCATTCACGTCGTTGTTGACAAGGACCACATCAAAGATATGCCTGTACGTGGTGAAAATGGCGTCCGACTCTTTCTGGATCATCTGCAGGTTTTCCGTCTAGGAGACAAGACACGGAGGGTTAAGCAGCTGCTGGGTGATTCAGTTTGATGTTTCAAAGCACTCGAGTGTATTCGGAGAAAAATTTAGCACCTGGGCAGCTGTGTTGGTCGGAGCGATGAACACCACGAGAGGTGCAAAGTCAGCAGTCCGCAAGACCTTCAAGGTCTGCATTCAAATGTTACAGAAAAGAAAAGAAGAATTTTGTTAAACTGATTAACTACATGAAAACCGCTTGTAAAGGCTACCTTCACCTACATCTTTTATTTAAATGTGTTTGTATTCAACACATTTACGGGGAACTTTAGTGTTTGCAGCTCAATAGGCGACTTTTTACTTCACCTCAGACAGATAGTAGGTCTAACTTCAGCACACATCTTAATTAATACATTTATATTGCCTATTCACACATACATTTTTAATGACAGAAATAGGATTGTATACTTTAAATGTTCCACTCCCTGTTAACCTACAAGCAGCCAGAGCAGCAGAAAAAAAGAGCTAATAGTTGCTTGATGCAGGTTAATCTCGCATTTTAAATACTTGCAAACAGCTCAAAGAGGCATAAAAAGACATTCTTAGACTATATTTGAATCTGGGTAATGTTCAATTAATAGTATAATTTCCCTCAACTATCCCTTTCATGTCATGTCTCCGAAAGAACCTATGAATGCAAACCTGTGGTTCTATATCCAGTAAAGCGATTTTTTCTTGCTCGTGGATCTTGTGGATGGTCTCAGTTTTGGTACCGAACATGTTTCCCTGGAAGCTGCCATACTCCAGCAGCTCATTTCCAGAGATGCACTTGGTCATGGCTTCATGTGAGATGAAGTAATATTCCTGTCCATTCTCCTCCTCCTTCCGTTGGGGTCGGCTGGTGTCTGTGTAGAAGGTTCAAGACTTAGCCAAAGGACAAGTCAGCAAAGTTGTTTATTGTAGTGAAAGAAAAAAAAGAAAGTCTGATGGTCTACTCACGAGGTGCAGGGTAGGAAAACTTCTCAGGGTATTTGGTCAATAGTGCATTTTTGATATGGCTTCTTCCTACACCAGGTGCACCTAAAAAACAAGGACTTTCTTTATTTCCAAGGACATTTCAATCAAACATTAATGTCTGAATCTTTGGTTGCAGAGAAACTATCTTTACATTGTCTGAGGTTTTAATAGAGTGCTGTAGATTTGCCAGATGTGGAACATGTGTATCAGAAATGATTGAGAAAAATGAATTTGATACCCCTATTGAGTAATGTAACCCAGCTTACCGATGAGCACCAGCGTTTTCCTTTTGAAAGCAGGAAGCCGAACAACCTCCTCGTAAGAGATCACATCCAGCTGGTCAAAAACTGCAACAGAAGAACAGAAGGGATTTTGTTTAAGACAAACTCACAGCACACTAACACTGAGGGAAAAGAAGCAGGACTCTAGAGATACACTCACTCGAGCTGTGTTTAGCCAGGTACTTGTCTTTGCACTTCTTTTTCTTCCCAAATGGGCTGCAGGACTGACTGCCCTCTCTGGCCTTGCTTTTACTTGCCACCCTCCTGCAAAGTGAAAATGTAGGTTAAGTTTGGAAACATTTTTGCTCATCTGTATCATGTCAATCTTTGGCATCGTCATGGTATGTGCGACTTCATACGGCAGAGCTGTTTACCATTCCTGGAGCTCCGGGGAGGGAATCAGTCCAGCGTAGTCAGCAACGCCGCTTTCCACTCTGCCCTGCCACCAGTTTGGATCCTGCTTGTTGATAATCTGAATGATGTCACCAGTTTGAAACTTAAGGCCTGCCTCTTTGCACGGGATGAGGTCATCCTTGGTGGGGTCATAGTCAAACTGGGCCCTCATGTACATCTATAGATGAAGAGTACATAATGGTTTATTGACTTTTTGGGGGGAAAG